TTAAAAAAAAAAAAGAGAGAGAGACTCGAGCCAAGAAGAGACAAATGTTGATTTAGAGTTTAAAAAAATAAAAAGAAGTTTCAGAATGGAGTGACAAGTGGGACTAGTGGCAGAGTTAGATGTGAATATCTTGTCCAAGGAAGAGGTTTTGGGTCATTTTGTAGCTTGAGTTAAAATGTGGGGTTGGGGTGAAAGAAGATGGGGATTGGTGACAATTATATGTAATGGAATAAAAAATGTAAGAAAAATAGAAATGAGAACAAAAACAAAAAGTAAAAAGTTAATTTTAAGAAGTGCTTTTTTCTTGGTCAATTATTAGTGAGTTTTCAGATTTGATGGCTTGGTATGAACTTTCCCTTTCAGGTACCTGAAATGTAAAAGTTAATGGCCATATAAGATTGTGGGCACATGGAAAGAAACGTGTCTAATTATTGGGGGAAGATTTGCCAGAGTGAATATGGACCATTTTTATACATTTGAAAGGACATTCTTACTATCTCAACCTTGCCATATGACCCACCACTCACCCCACCCCAACCCAAAAAAGAAAGAAAGAACCCTATATTGTTTATGAAAGAAAGCTAATAAAGAATTTTAAAAATTCATATTCTTATCCCTAGTTGTTAAAATCTTGAATCTTTAATTGTATATATACAAAACTAGAAATACTATTTTATTGATGACAGGGATGGATGTAGGGGGATTGGGTCAGGCCATAGTTCGATCCAGTCTCCAACCCACTTAATTTTTTGGTGTAAAAATAAAAATAAAAATTGTCGACTAGAACTGTAGAAGTAGAAGACCAGTGACTTAAGAGAGAGAACCTCTATTGGAAAACATGAAAGTTAGAGAATCAAATACATTAAAGAAAACAATTTCATATAATCAAATTGACTTCAAATTCCTTTAAATAAAACTTAGTTTATTGTTAGTATTCCTTAATTTGCATTGAAAAAAAAGTTGTATCAATCACACTACTTTGAAAACATATTCAAGTCACTTCTTAAAAAGTGAGAAAATCTCCACCAAATCTTGGGTGGTCCAAGAAACCAATTAAATATAATTTCATTGTGGACTGCGTTTCCCCAAGTGTAGACTGTGTAGTTCACAATTTTTTGTGTACTTACTCTATCTCCTAATGGTATATGCAAATTGGAGAGCTAGAATCTTTTATTTCTTTATGAACATTTTAAGAGAAGGAATATGTGGTCACAAGAAAATCAGATGGGCCGTGCCAAGGGAAGGTCACTCACATGTAGATACAAACAAGTCGGCACATCATAAATGAAAATGAATGGTCTATCCTTATCGAGTATAAGTGGATGAGTCCCCCTCGAACTTCAATTCAAGCGAGTTAGAGAAGAGGGTGAATTTTGGACAGCTTGAACTATCATATTCCTCAGGCCCAAGGGAAGGTCACTCACATGTAGATACAAATAAGTTGGCACATCATAAAGTTTAAATTATTAAAGACGTTGAATTGTACTAAATAATTGTCAATAGATGAAAATGAATGGTCTTATCCTTTTCGAGTATAAGTGGATGAGTCCCGCTTGAACTTCAATTCAAGTGAGTTCGAGAAGAGGGTGAAATTTGGACCGCTTGAACTATCATATTCTTCATACTGATTGATTTTTGAGATGCGTCAAAGGCGACAGAAGTTCTAGTATTACAAATGTATCAAGTTTCGACTTTAAATTACTATTGTCTTCTGTATCATATCTCTTAATCTCTCTTTATTGTAAACGCTTCAACTCTGACTCAATTGAATGAAGTAGGAATTAGAGTTGCAAATGTATCAAGATTCGTCTTTTCAATGTAACATACTAACATACATATATGATTAGATACAGGCAAAATATCCATCCTACCTTCATATAATTAATGTGAAGATTTGGTACAAGAATCTGCCTTGAATCTATTATTTAAATATAGTTTCAGACAGTTTACAGTTGTCACACGTTTTGGATGCCCTATGTCGATCATGACGTTATCCTCAACAGCACACAAAACCGCGTTTGGAAGTTCACTCATTATTTTGACTTATTTCTTAATTAAGTTGATGTGGTTGTTTAATTAAACTTGTATTTTATAATTGCATAATTTCATTATCAATCTTTTTGATTCATCAAGAAAAGAAGCGAGCAACTATCGACAGGAATGTCGAGAAATGACAATCAATGTTAATTAATTTGACCAAATTCTGATAATTGATATGGTCAACAAATAATTAATTTTTCATATGTCGATTTTCGAATTGAAAGTATCTTAAACTTTTTGTAGTATTTTTCAAAAGCAATAAAAAAAATCAATAAATTCCTAACTCTAATTGAAATGGTAAAAATAATAGAAATTTAAAAATAAAAAGGTGATTAAAATGAGAAAGGCCCGTTAATTGGGTCCTGGGCAAAGTGTTTATGGGCCTTAAACAAGCCTTTTTAAGCCCAATAAACCTTTTAGTTTCGGCTTTAGGAGGGGAGGGCCTTAATAAGCCTTTTTAAGAGAAGGAAACTTTCGGGTTTGGCTTTAAGAGAAGTCAGCCCAATTAATGTCACTGCTGGATTACAAAATCTGGTCCATCAACAGGGCCTAACATGCTACAACAAGGATTGGGAGCAGGCTGATTTCATGCAAATGGGCGTTGTAGATTGGGCCAGTTTTCCTTTCAATACTTTTTGGTGTTACCCAACAAGGTGTTGAGGTGCCCTACTTAGGGGTTGTCAAATTACCCATCTAACCGATCCAAATCATCAAAACGAACCGACTCAATTTTTGGAGGGATGTTTTTATTTTCAAGTTCGTTGAGGGACTGAATTTAGAAAAAATGTTTTTCAAGGAAAATATCTTTCTTTCAACTCGATAAATGGAACCGATCCAAAGCGGTTTCTGTCAGTTTATTCATCTTGTCAATTCGATTGCCGGCTTCATTCTATAATATATAGTACTCTAATCCTCGGATTTGCTTAAACATGAATTATGATATTCGATATGACATCAAAGATTTTCACAACTACATCTATGATATTTGATGACATTTTTCTTTACTAATTCAACCATTTTTACTATGGAATAAAGGGGCTATACACAACATCCCACGAGAGTTCAAACATGCACCAATCTCAAATTCGACCGACAATATATTCATTAAAAATATATATAGAATGAAATTTAATACTAATCATATATATTTATTTCAATAAATGTTTGTAGTTCCAAGATTACATGTCATAGAAATACTAAACGAAATAAGATCATTAAATTTCAATCAACCAAATTAATTAAAGAAATAAATCAACATCTCCGACATGTATAGATGAACACACTAATTACTCAAACCCTAGAAACACATGAATCAAATAGCGTACCTCAATCAACGGTCGAAAGGGCCAGTGGGATCGAGCTGTTTGCACAAACCAAGATAGGTAAGATAAAGAACACGATCCTTAGCGCCAGTTCGATGATTCTTGGTGTGTTTGCAGAAATATTTGAGCTGATCCAGTGTGCAACAACCCAACAATTGCCCAAGGAGCAAAAAAAGCCAGTTGATGAATTTCTTCTTTTCAGAAATTACTGGTTTTGCAATGTTTTCTTCATTACACATTTTGCAGGGCAGAAGAGTCGGATTTAACCATACTCCGGGGGCTCTGTCATGCATGGTGGCTTTGTTTTCGGCTATGAACGTGGCGACTTCCCTGAACTTTTGATGTAAATTAAAAGTTATTTTGAACTTTTCGTCGCACCTCTTGCACTGTACTTCGTCCGTAATGGTGTCGATTTGCTTGGAGCGCAAGTAGTTTAGGCTGTGAACGGTGGCACGGTAGTTCGTGGACCATGGAAACTGCACCGGGATGGTGGCGCTCTTCCCTTCTCGAGGCGACTGTGCTGGGTTTCGCCGAACACGACGAGGCCGGGGTGTGACAGTACCATCACTTGGACCAATATCTTCTTGATAGCGACTATATGGTTGTGATGGGTTGCCCCCAGTTACGTGGTGGGGTGGGGAGAGTTGTAATGATACTGGCTGACTTGAGGTGGCGTAGGGTGGCGAAAGATCCAGCCGCGCTGGCGGCAACGATGGTGGCGGCGGGTGGGATATGGGGGAGACGCCATTTTCTTGATAGTAACGATATGGTAATGTCAAAGTAGGAGGATTTTCTCCAATTATAATAACCGGGTGGTGGGATTGCGTATTTGCGGGTGCGGATGGTGGCTGAAGGGAGACACCATTTCCTTGATAGAGATAATATGGGAATGTCACAGTCGTACCAGAAAGCGATGGAACGTGGTTGTCCGACGGGGGTGAGAGTTCTAATGTTAGCAGAGGATTTGAATCGTCGGAGAGTCTTGAAAGATCCAGCGGAGGCGATAGTTGCGGCGGCGGCAGAGGAGGGTGGGTTACGACAGAGAATGTAAGTGGTCTGATAGCAGCAGTAGAGCAAATAGGTGACAGTGAAAGGTCCAAGAAATCATTGTCGTCTTCTTCTTCGAGATCAGAAGAAAAATTTATTGGGATTTGAGATTGAAGGCTATTGAATCTTCTCCTTTTGTTCTCGTTGATTTCACTATCGGTAGCCATTTTTTCATCAATCTTGAAAAAACCAGAAGAAGAAGGAGAGAAGAAAATAAGAGTCACTGAGACATTAGAGTTTGTTAGAGATTATATATTGTAAAAAAAAATTGGGATAAGAGAGAATAAACCGAATCTGTAGTGATTCGGGATTCAGGATTCTTATTGAATTCAAAAATGTCCATTCACATTCTTTGGGATTTTGTTTTAATTTTTTCTGTTTTGTAAATTCCCACGTGGCAATTACATCTCGCACTCACTGGGATTCAGCACTGCAGTGTCGCCTGAGTACTGACACTTTGCAGTACCTACGGTGATACCACCTTGTCGTTTTTTATTTCTTTAATAAACAAAAATAATAAAACATTTGTAAGAATTAAGAACAATTCCTACGAAAAAAAATATAATGCGTTAGAAAAGAATTACGATATATATCCATTTTCTTATTAATGTTCTTAACAAACGTGTTGATTTTGGAGTGGTCTGGACTGAGGACCAGGCCCAGGATGAGGCCCACGTAGTTTTCCGACAGTTGTTTTTGGTTGATTTTACATGCCCGATTGATGATATGGCTCGGCCCATATAAGCAATGGGCATCCATTGGATGTTAGGAGCACAATTTCTAAAGGTACTTAATTGTCTTTTTGATTTTCAGTTTCAATTTTTGCAATTTGTTTGATTGAATACCTTTATTTTGTTTCGCAGTCCTATCTAATGATTTATTTGATTATGATAATGTCTATTGACTAAAATTCGATTGAATATTCTTCAATAAACTTGTATAATTTGCCTTGTGTTGATGATTGTACCTCGTTCTTCGCCTCCAAAATACGTAGAATATATGATTTTTAGGTCAAAAAAAGGTCTCCTCCGTGTTCTGGTCTAGTTTGGTATATATATAGGATATTTAAAATCTTGTTACCAAAACAAAAATAAGGAAAATCGAATTTTTTTCTCCTTTTGTTTTGAGGCGCGCATATCTAGAGGGCGCGCATGGCTAGTTTGGGACGCCTCAGGCACCCCATATTTGGTTGGGGTATGTGTCTCACCTAATTTTCAGCAGCTGAACAGTTTTCGATATTTTTGTCATAACGTTCTCTCCCGATATCCGATTTAGGTGATCTAAAGTGAATTGAAAATATAACTTGGAGGGCTACAATTCATATAGAAATATCATTTTCCAATTCGAACATTTTCGATGCCAAAAATATGTCTCAAATTGAGACTGAAAATTCGAAGCATAACTTTTTTGGCTGAAAGTTGATATGTAATAGTACTTGAACTATTTTCATCAATTTGGCTTCTTTCCGCATTCAATTGATGCCTAACACTCTCAAATCTTCATTGTGAGATTTGACGTAACTTTTGAGTATTTGCATTCAGTCTCCGAATTTTGTATTCGATACAATTGAGCCCTTTTTCGCTATCTTTGCATTCTTTTCTCCAATTTTTCATCAAATATTGAGTTTTACCAACAAAATGAAATATAACACAAGTTTTGGTAGTATTTTATCCAAATAACTGTCAAATATAATCATTTAGGATTTCGAATAAATGTAAAAACTACACTTATCAGAGCACTGCAACAGCCACCCTCTTTAACTCTTCCCTTGTCTAAAACTTTCATGATTCTCGTAGGTTTTCTTAAAGATTACAGTTTTAAGTACTTTCTCTTTCATTAACTCCTTTTCTTTTAGTTTGTTTTTATGTTGTAAATGCCTGAGTTTGAGCTTCTATTGTAAGTTTTCCTTCTTGTGAAGGATTTTTCTATTCTTTTATAGGTTTATTTAAGTGATTTTTGCTCTTGATTGGTCCTTGTGATTGGCCTTTTTCATGGAAATTTGATTTGTTTGTTGTTTTGAATTTCATAATTTTATCAACCTTGCAGGGGCTTGTCTGTTTTTTAATCCTTAAATGGACAGTGCCATAGATTCGCTGAATAATGCATATCAGGAGTATATTGCAGGAGCCACCTTTCTAGAATCAAAAGAAAACTCGTGTAGCCTAATGACGGTGGCCAGTGATGCTGACCTAGAGAATTTTAAGCAACGATGGGAATTGTTCAGAGTTGTTTGTGATCTAGCAGAAGAGTTCGTTGAATCCGTGAAGCAAAGAATAGGGTCTGAGTGTCTAGTGGATGAGGCTACTAGCTCGATTTGTCAGAAACCCGGATAGCCTGTTCAAAGTGGTCTTCCACCTATCCGTGATGTTCGATTGGAACAAATGAGTAAAGCTATCAGATGGCTGGTAATTGAATTGCAAAAAGGTTCTGGAACTGGAGGTGGTTCATCGCAACCCCACCCTACAGCTCCTTTTGATGCTCGATTCACTGAAGATGCTGGTCAATAGGTATTCCAAACTCTCTTTATACAATGTGGTGGAGGTCGTGAACCTGAAAATTCCGCATAATAGCATAGTTAGCCAGGAAACTGATAAAAAAATTTTAAATTTTAAGTTTTTGGTAAAAGGCACACAGTATCCAAGAAATTTTTTGTAGCCGATAATATATTCAATTATCGAAGAAAAACGGTTGTTCATTTTTTTAGGAGATAAAGATTGAGTCCTACCAAAATTAGAGTTCAGAATTGATCTAAGCATTGATATTATAACTGGAGGTCCAAAGCCAAAGATACTCCCAACAATTTCACCAGTCAATGACACCAACACCATTTTCAGAAAAGAGGAATTCATGGCTACCGTTGACTTAAAAAAATGTCCTAACAGAATCCCTTCCATCCCCTCTACATAGACATCACTTTCATGCTGGAACACCCCTAAAAGGCAAAGGCCAACGGTCGAGAAAAAGGTTCGATGGTCATTTTCACTCCGACGTTCAAGTTAATAACTGGACGAGAGAGAAAATGAGGGTAAGATATGGGAGAGGGGATTTTGGCTAGGGTTAGAATACTTACCTTTTAGTGAAATGAAATCACGAGAAGCGAAAGTGGGCCAAATGGGTTTAGTGATATGGGTCTAAGTTCAAGCGCTAGATGCAATTGTTTAAATATAGGCTCAATCAATTAAATAGTCAATATACATATACAGGATCACTTCCGTCTGAACATGCCATGTAATTTATAGATGTAACATGTTCATCTTTGCAGGAAAGAAAGCTTCCACTCTGATTATGTACTTTTGACAGGCCTCAGAGAACTCGTGTTCATGTTGGTAAACAGACTTTAAGAAGGCGCCAATTGTATTCCGCCAATATTTAAGTGAAAATGCCTGGGGATGTAGCTGAAAGGCAGTATATAAGTAATGAAGCACCTCTCTCTCTCTCTCTCTCTCTCTCTCTCTCTCTCTTCAGGGTGCCTTTTCTTTCCACTGCTAAGGAGCACTTGCTAAAGTACGCTGTGTGTGTGTTTTCAGGGTACCTATTCTTTTCGTTGCGATGGAGCACTTGCTAATGTACTTCAAGAATCGTGATTCTTGATGTAATTGTGCGTGTATTAAAGGTATAATGTAGACCAAAAGAGCCACTTTTGGATACTTGGCACGACAAACACTTTTCTACAGGACTGGGCTACATAGAAAGTTGAAAGTCCCTCCCAACACAGCTCGTCTGTAATGACGGAGGGTCGTGGCACGGGCTTGACTGAAGTTTACTCAGTTAGTTAATCTTGTAATGTTGTAATGAAAACCATTGGCTTTGATGGTAACTGCTTTATAGAAGCTGCAAGATTAGATTACCCATAGCCTACTCAACTAATGCTCGGAATAACTAGTTTGCACTGTACCACGTGCACAACAGTCTATTTACTATTTAGTACCGTGGAATAATTAGAAACCATGTTGGGCTTACAGATCGATCGAGCCTGAAATAACCGGAATCCAGAGGTTGATTGTCTCATAATACGTGATATATTTTTGCCGTAAATGTCCAATCATCTTGACACCTCTAATAAAGTGTAATGTGTTTGTTTGGAAAGTCAAAATCAGATAAAAATATTTTGAACAAAGGTTTTATCGGTAAAATATTCAATTGGAGACTAAATGCCTTCCTTTACCTCCCGGTTGGAAGTCATAAAAGAAACTTGCTTCCTTGCAACTTCCATTTTTAGGGTACGTAGTAATGTGCTAAGCAAAGAGGTGTATATTAGACTCATTTTATACGCAAAAGGTGCGGCATCTACTTGAACGTAGAGAGGATCTTCCTCAAACAAAGATAGGCGTGTCATAATTCGTAAACAATATGAAGTTATTTCTATTTCGTTGTCCAAGGAGTTGGAGTTGTTGACTTCGATCGATCCCGGTAGTTGGGATTCTATGGATTCAAACATGATCTCTTTGTATCCCATTAGATTTCAATTGGAGGAGGAACATTATAAAGAAGAAAAACAATATTAATTGAGGTTGTTCAACTATGCATATGTAAACTAAGTGTTATTCCCGAAGTAATTGTAATTACTTTTTGATCAAATACACTTTTTATTAATACGTTACATGTGATGTAAACTAGGATCTACTGCTTAAATTATTATTTAGAATAATAACTATTTGTACAATGAATGTTGACAAATTTTCTTAACAATTCATGTATTGTCAAGATCTAACGGTTGACTTAAAAAATAATTTTTAAAATAAATGATATAAATTTTGTCAACTCGTGATCGGCCGTCAATCATATTATACATGTAGCATAGTTGTATTATTTAAACACCCCAAACAAAGGAGTTGAACGACTTTCAAAATCAATTATAAAGAAACAGACACGAATCAAAGTGTACCCACCATTCCAACACGCACGCAAACACAAATCACATGTGCGGTGCACGAGGGTACAGTGTTTTCATATCGGTAGTACTGCAACCAAAGTCATGCAATTCAGGTGTTCACAGAAGAAGCAAAGAAATTACTGAGTAATCGGTTTCTTGCTCCTTAATTCCCACCCAACGATCTTTTACTTTGCTATTAGTATTAGCTTTCTCTCTGTTCTCGTGTATTGTTTTGGAGATTGTATTTTCCTCCGTTGTTCAATAATGACTCTGATTAGCAATAATTTGTGGATTCCGAAGATTTTTCCCAAATTAGATAGGCTGGGCCTTGATTATATACGTCTCCTCATGTTCATTCGCTGGATTGAATCAACGTTAGATAGCCTCTCTAATTTTGTTACTAATTAGAAATGCTTATCTACAATGCTGCCGGTGTTTTGTGATTGTCTACGTAATTGATTATTCTTGTTATTTGCAGAATACTGGATTTAGGGGATGAAATACAGAAGGTTTGCAGCTGGATGTATTCAGTGAGTGATTGGACTTCTTATTGTTTACTGATTGAATTTTCAGAATAGTATATATAAGTATAAGTATAGATAATGGAATGTTCTATTAAATTAAAAAAATAAAAATAAATATGGTTACTCTATAATTGTCTGGCATTGATGAGATGGTAAAAATCCCAACAGTACTTTAGGTTTTAAATAACTCCTTCAAAAGCTAAGACCTGCTGAGGTGGTGTTTGGAGTTCATATTTGGTGCTGTTGTGTTCTTTTTTGGGTATTTCCACTTGTACATCAAGTGGTGTACATAAGGGGTGGAACCCCCTTACATGGGAGATGGGACCCACTGGAATAATATTTTTTTATTCGAGTGGACCTCACCTCCCATGTGAGGGGGGTGTAACCCCTAATGTAGACTATGATGTACCACTAGCATTGCCCTTCTTTTTTACATTTAAGTTTGCTGTTGCATTGCAAGTGATACGCAAATTTGTATTAAATGCTAATAGTTTAGAGTTAGATTAGTAAAATTCGTAATTTGCAGTTTCTTATGGTAAAGATACGCACGCCAATTGTTGTTAGACTTGAACGACCAAATCTAGTCTGAAGAAATTTAGTTGTTTACTGGCTTGTTGGAGCTGGAAATTAATTATGAAACGGTCCTTAGAACCATTTAGCTATGCAGTTCATGTTTAGAAATCTCAACTCTTCACTTGATTATCAATACATGCTTAAAGTTTTTTCAGTTACAAAATTGTAACGTGAGAATCTGTAACTTCTATCTTAGTTAGTAAAAGGAGGCTAGTATCGGCCGCTGTCCTATGTATGTGAGTGGTTTTTCAACCTGATCTGTCAATAGGGCATTCTGACTTGTTAGCTTGTTGCTTCTATGTAGGGTAACACCTGCGACTTTATGATATATTTACCTAATTGTTCTTTAGATTTAAATTAGTCTTTAAATCTTTGTAGAGTGGCAATCGCGGGCTTCGTTTACTCTGGCACATCATTCATTTGTTCATCAACATTTGGTACTTTTTCCTGCGGCTGAGTAATGCACCCGAGAACTATCTCATTTCGAATAGTTTGTTGACGAGGTATAAAACCCTTAATATCAGCAAAGTTAAATGCCTGGCAATTGTTATGGACAGTGACGAAGCTCTCCATATTCTGAAAGTTCTTGAGCTATTACGATGGCTTGCGGTAATTGGTTTGAATAATGTATGCCTCTACGATAATGAAGGTACAGGTTCCATGGCTCTATTAAATCACTATTGAGCTTACAGTTTCAACATTGTGTTTTTCTACTTTCTGTTATTACAATAGAAATTGCATCCTCATGTTGTAGGAGTACTGAAGAATTCAAAAGAAGACATAACGGGAAGGTTTAAAAGTGAAAAAATGTTCAAGGTACTGTCTTCCAGTTCTACGTTTTTCTCAGTTCTAGCTTACTAACATCCATGACAAGCTACAATGCTTCCACATTTGTGCAATTGTCTGATACTAGTTTATTGAGTACGATCTCATAAAAATATAACTTGTATCTGATTATTCTGGCCGGATACAAACTATTCAACACTCCCTGCCTCCAAGCGAAATAATCCACCCAAGAAAGAAAAACAGAAATATTACAGTCAAAGTTCTGTACCTTTGTGTCACCAGAGTGCCATTATGGATGGCTGCTCGCTCAAATTTTACCAACTTTGTGCAGGAAACTACCACAATCGACCCGCTTTTTGAGCAGGCGTACATGAATTTAGAATTCATTTCATTTTCTGATGGGAAAGAAGCAGTAGCCAAGGCAGCTAATTTTCTTTTGGAGAAGCACTATTCAAGTGCCAATACAGAGAAGCCAAATCTGAAAGAATCTGACATGGCTGAAGCTCTTATGTCTATAGGTTTGTTGTTTTTCATGTTCCCCCAACTCTGTATATGTTTTTAACCTCATTGTTTTAATAGAAGTATACAACAGCTTGGATTTATTCTATCGGTTTAATAAATTCACTTACATTTTTATTTTTATTTTTATTTTGGTTTTTAGGATGTGGAGGAACAGAACCCAATCTCATGCTGATTTATGGGTTTGCCCGATGCCATCTAGGATTTCCAGCTTGGAGAATGAGTTATACTGAGATGGTGTGAGTATTAGTTGTAATACATAACATTTTTGCTACTTTTTTGTCGAACACGGTGAACAGGAAAATTGACTCGCAAAGTAAACATTTTTGATATGAGAAATAACTTAAAACTTTTTTCTTTTTAGTTCCAGTATCAACATCCGAGCAAACTTGTGTTCATAAGCCACGTAGTAGGTACAACTGGATTCATTGAGAAATGATAATAACTTGTGCGGTTTTAATCTGTTATATATCACCCAAATAGAAAGCTATTATGTTAATTTCCTGCTAGAATAATAATCAAGAATGTTTATATAGTCCGACTGATTACATAACTTTACTTTGAGCATGGTAGTTCTCAGTTTCAACCTTGGGATAAACAAACCCACTTCCCAATATATACACACTCCCCGTCCCAACCAAAAAAATAAAAAAGAATTCTCTTCATGTAGGCTGTGTCTCCCATGCTGTAGCCAAAGTAAATGCCAATTTCTTTCATTCCAACTTTTATTCTCACGTGTTCAATTTAGGGGCAATTAAGTACAATTTTTTATACTCTCTTAAAAATTTGGACACTGAACCGTGGATTTTACTTTTTGTGTCAGGCATATGGGATCATTGATGTCTATGAATTTTGGTTCCCTAGTCAAAGTCATTCATCGGTTCACAATGGTGCACCAAAACTATGGTATGCATATCCTCCTAATGAATGACATCGTCGTGTTACTTGTCTCTGTATGAGTTATTTTTTCCCCTGTTAAAAGTAAATGGATAAGTGATCAGATTATTGATGGAAAGTACTAGTGCCTCTTGAAAGGCATTTACAACTTTTTCTCCTGTTCATGGAGATGGAAATCTTACAAGTTCAAAAAATGATTTGACTTTTTCAAGAGGTAAGCGTACATAACAAATAGAAATCTCTGTAGATCACATGCTTTTGAAGTGAACCTGCATTAGAAAAAATGGCCAGAAAGGGGACCTTTATTGCAATTAGGTTAAGGTTAATGTGAAATATTTTTCTTTATATATACATAACCATAGTACACAGCCAAGCAGCACGAAAATTTGGCAGCCAAAACTGGTGTTTTAGAGAGAAATTTTTTGAAGATAAAGAGAGAAAAGTTAGAGACGAAAAAAAGTTTTGCACGTTTGTGGTACATTTGGTGTTCTACCTTTGTGTGGGGAGAAGTTGAGAGAGTGAGAAAAACGTTGTTTTGTGTGATTTTCTCAGCTAATAAAGAATTCTTCTCATGTGGTTGTCAGTGGTTTGTCAAACTACGTTTAATTCTTTTTTTCTATTCGTGCTCTTTTTTGTATGTTTCCATTTCCGAACGCCGGTGGGATTCCCTTAATCCTTTAAATAAAGATCACTGACTCGAGTCAATGATCAATTTCAGTCGGTGGGATTTTCCACCAACATATTTTAGGAGATTTCGAAGGTGAATCTTGGGCTCTGTTGTTATCTTTGTTCACCATTATGTTCTTCCTTTATTGAGCACTAGCAATGCATGTTGAGATCATAATTAGTCCTTTAAATAAAGATCACTGACTCGAGTCAATGATCAATTTCAGTTACTTTGTATTTATTAGCGTTTTGAAAACCATTGTGGCTTGCCGGTTCGATCATGTTTGAACCCTTGACCTTTTATGTTTTCCGGGTCAGTGCCCAGGTCGAGTTTTAAAGCATTGATATTTGTACTATAGTTTGTTTATGCAATTCATGTGGGATGCTTCCCATCAATTCAAAGCAGCTCATCTGAATTAACTTTGTTCATCACCTTAATATTTATTTCCATTGCCAGGTTCATAGACTTACATTTTGAGTGGCGTGTTCTTTTATAACATGTACAAGATGTACATCTCTCGTTGAGGAACAGTTGCTGCAAGAATTTACGGGCCAGGGACACTCTTCAGGACAATTCCAATTATATTATTAATGTAATAAATTGAAATTGCATTTTTTTTTTTTTAAATTCAAGAAGTTCACCAGAATTTTGTAACATGTACAAGAATGTACATCTCGCGTCGAGGAACACTTGCTGGCTGCTGCCAGAATTTACTTAAATCATACAGATTTGAAAAAAAAAAAAAAATTTTATTTTAAAAGTAAAGTTGCTATATTGTCAACATAAGCAATTTTCTTTTCTTTTACTTGTGACTAAAACTTAACCCGTGGACGTGCTTAACATTTTACACAGTGGTTCTTAAGTTTATCTATATTTTGTCGAATTCAAAGGCATGCGATACTGTTTTCCTTCTCGACTTAGATCCTAGCACTCAGAAGTTGTAGTCTTGTATTCAGTTACTAGAAATTTTGTTTTTCTCTGTTTTTTCCGTCTTAAAAAAGCTTGATGAAAATATTTTAGTAGGTAAAAGATGTTGCCCAGCATTGCAAACATGAGATTACACAGCTTCTTTACGGATACAACCATCATAATAAGATCCAAGTATTTTCTGGCATTTTGTACTAAAACACACATAAACGTACACACTTTTGTAACTAGACTACTGGAATCCAAATAAGGTTATCAGCAGGGAAGAAGTGGCACACTGGAGATGCACCGGGTCGCGTTTTCAGCACGTGAAACGAGACATGTTCAGGATCCCAGTGTGAGGTATCCATGTGGCAAATTGCAGCAGCTTCCAATCTTCCTCCATCCTCACCAACCAATGAAACCTTAAACAACTTGTTATCACTTTCTTGGCTATGGCAATAAAACACCGCGTAAGGGTAAGGCAACGTGTGACATGCCACTATTTTATGAGCTAAAATCTCCTCGGGAGCTTCCAAGATAGTATAATTTTGCAGAAGGGTTATGGACTTTGTAAGGTGATTCGTCGTGAGAACTTTAAATTTGGCCTTGAATCCAAATATGGATCGAACTGAGTCGAGCATGGATTCAAGGGAGGCGGCACAAAACTTGGTTTCTCCTTCTAGGGGTGGAAATTCACAGTGTTGAAGGGTATTTTCCATTGCTTTGGCTTGTTTTGAGCCCTCCGGGAAGGAGAATAGTTGAAGAATATAATGAAGTTTTTCTAATGAAAAAGGAATAGAATCAGATTCTTCTTTGGACAGTAAAGGGGGAGAGGTAGAAGGGTCTTTTACTGGGAAGTAGATATGCATTTTCTTCCCAACTTTAAGTTCATTGACATGAAAGAACACATTTAGTTCAGGATCCAAGTGATTCACGTGAGATAATGAATGATCATGTAAATTCTTGCCAGAATTTTCGTCCCTACTAGCATGAACTCGAAGATGATTATCTTTAAAAGCACGTCCTAATTTCATATCATATACCTCTCTTTCGACCTTTTCCCCATTTGCTTCAGCCATCTCGAGATGCTGCAATGGTGTCTAAATTGGATAAGCGTCCATAATACTCAAAAGGGAAGAATTCAAATACAAAAGAATACAATGTACTCAAACTGAAAAACTCCGTGCAAAATACACACTAGAGGAAAAACCAAAACACTACAAGTACTAAACTGAAATCACCCCAACATGTGAATACTAAGTGAGACTAATAAGGATCGTCAAGACTCGCCAAAATAGTCCATGACTACCTTAGAATTGTCGTCAAATCCCCAAATAAACATAAGTTCACATGAAATCTAAGGCGTGTGAAAATCTCACGGGATAACTGAATAAAAATTTATGTTCATAAAATTATAGCGCAGAAAGAAGGAAGAGAATATTACCTGCAGCACAAGTAGTGAGCAAAAAAGATGGACAAGATAACCAAATCCAAAACCCATATTTTCTTTTTCTTAAATCTGTTCTTACTTCAGCAATCTTCTGCTTCTGAAAATAAGACCAAAACAGTAAAAAATTGTTAAGGAATTGTATTAAGTAGTGACAGGCACATGGCTACTTGTTGAAGGTAAACAGAGCTGAAAACATGGAAGTTCCATTAAAAATATAACCTTATGCTGATGCCTTGTACAGTGATTTTCCAGAGAATATTGAAATGCCAAAATGGAGTTTGATTCTGTTTCGATTATTGAAAAATGGTTAATCTATAGTTTGTGTCCCTGTCCGCTGACTTGGAGCTCTTCGTTTTTCTAATGTAAATCTAATGTAAATTCAGCATCTTTTCTTCTTAGCTTAGGTCATTTAACTATCTGTTTTTGGAAGTCCAATCTTGATAGGACATTATTTAAATATTGGTCAATGTGCTAAGATTAGTCAATCCTTCTTAGAAGATAACTACAATCGTTACAATCTACTTCATTTCCAAAGTCGAAGTTCGATAACCCATATTTCTATTTGACATAATTTGTAAGTTAAAAATCTCTATCTTTAAATCGATGATACACATATTATATTTTTAATTGGTATTGACAACTCTGTTCCCCTCGTATCAGAATGCCTTATTATCTATTGCTAGGAGTTTCGCCGTAAGCAAGCAAGGAGGAGTGGTACAATTATGCATTTCCTTCGGTATGTTCACAAGATCCGTGCCACATTAAAAGAAGGCTTAAAATCAGGCTTTAGGAAATATTCAAAATAGATCGAGGGCGCATCAATTGAAAGTAGATCTCTTTAGGACAATAAATTCGCGACGAATATGTACCCGTTGAGACAAAAATTATTAAAGTTTTATTAGCAGAAATCACATAGAAAACTAATGTTCTTCTAATCCTTATTTATTTTAATTAGTAGGGACCAATTAATGTAAATCAACTTGCATTAAGTTTTAATAATATGGAACTATTTAAAATTTAGTGTACACACAATTCGTCCATTAGTTAAAGTGTAAAAACATGGGTATCGAATAAACCTAGCGCACTTGTCCTAACCCACTACCACATTATTAAACAAGTCATTTATGTCCACAGTAATTGCCAAGGATATTGGTGACATCCCATTGAGGACAACTTTGAAAATTGAGGCTCATCAAGGCCGACGTCAATTTAAAGATATAATTTAAATAAATTAGATAAATATCACAATAAATATATATTTTAAATTTAAGTTTCGTCACAACTCATTTAGAATTTAGATAAACATTTTTTGTTTGGTGGGGACATGGCTGTGACAACTTTAAAAGATCGGGAACACGTAGAAATGGTAGATTGTGGACACGGGTGGTGTCACATTTACGAAAAGTCGGGGACTCCTAATGGAATTTACTTTAACTTTCATATAACGTCCTTCGTAACACTCGCATGATGTAAGAGAGGAGTTGAAGCAATGAGGACAAACTTTATCATATTCAAATTTTAAAATGGAAGTTGAACTCACGGTTTGAATTATTTCGAAATAAAGGAAATCTTTTCAATTTTAACATTTCAGTTGAATATCACACGACCATTTACCGTAAAGATTTTCCGTTCTATAGGAACATGAGTACTACGAGTGATGACTCTTCAGTTTTTGATAACATAATATTTGTATGGTGTGTGCTGTTCAAGAGTTGACAATTTGAAGATGTGACAATTTGAAGATGCTAAGGATGAATTTTACTTTTAAGAATGGATTGCACCAAACTATCCTCAAACATCATAATCAAATCACTCAATTGTCCATTGCAACTTCTAGATTTTTAATTGATGAAACTTTTACTAATGCGGGTTTATGTTAAATCGACCGCCCTGATAATGAATGTGGCATATTCTTTTAGATCATGTTTGATTGCAACGAATTTCATGGAAAATATCACATTCGAGAAAAATGAATTCCACTTTGCCCGTTTAATTACAACGTGAAAATGGAAATCGAATTTCAAGATACAACCACTTTAAATTGCATTTTCTTTGTTTTCATCGAAAACGAATTCCTATGGATTTAATGAGTTTTTATTTTCCGACTAACATAAAATTGGAACAAGAAAATAAAAATCCGTTTGATTGATAAATGTGGAAAGAAACTTTTACTAATGCGAGTCTCAGTCTACGTTAAATCGACCGACCTGATAATGAATGTGGCATATACTTTTATATCATAGTGCTTACTAATACGGCTCTCTCTTAACTCAGCCGACCTAACTAATGCTTGAATGAGAAGCTTTTATTGCCAAAATTGTGACTACAAACCACTACTATTTCTTCTAGTGCGCCTGAGACTAAAGCTTGAACTGAGTCAAGAATCCAATACGGACGGCGCATATAAACTTCAACGAGCTAATCAATGATATTCTTCTTATACTTGTCGACACCTCGAACGACCAAAATAAAATTTAAATAAAAAAAATTATTTCATTTTAATAATTTAAATTTTAGATAAATTAATTTTTATATCAGGAAAAAAAATCTTATTATATCAAAAATTTATTTTAACTACACATTTAATGATACTCGCGACTTTTATTAAATTTTTAACGAGATATTTTATCATTTATCAAAATCTGCTAAATATTTTACCAAAAAAGACGTGTCAAACCTTTAAATCTATAGATTCAACACGATCTAGATGCCTTGCATGTCAATAAAACGACATCACTTATGGTGCCCATATGTTGACTATTTATTATTTTAATGAACATCATGATTTAGAAAATGGAGGTCCCTATTGGCCAACTCATTTAACTATCTCTATTATTATAAATTATTTCAGCTATAATTTAATTTAGACACATTAAAAAAATGTAGCAAAAGTACAGGACTCGCCTTGATAATCTAGTACAGGCTCCAGTTGTACTTTTGACATTATCAGATCAAGTCTTACATGCGCTATATCATTTATTAGGACGTGTTCGATAGAGATTAAAATCATATTAAAATTGAAAAATTAATCGTTATTGTTGATTTTTATTAGATGAGTGAGATCCAAGAATGACTATATTTTCAATTTTAATTGAATTTTAATCTTTATCAAACGGGCTCTTAATTTAAATTAAAGTCGATTTTTTCATCTAATCTTTTTCCCTCACATCATTTACGTCCCTTCTTTTTATTGTTTGTCCATACAAACAACAAATTCCTATTAATATAGGATTAACACTATCCATGGACTAGATTCATCCACGTGTTGTGTCTATGAATGGCGTGTTATCATATAGTACCGTATGATATTTGCCACAATTTTATTTATTTTTTAAATACAAAATTTAACGCCCTGTCAAGCGTAATCTGCTTGATCCCGACATCAATTTTGAGCCACTACTAAATTTCTATCAACTAGGTGTGTACTCTACTTTAGTATTAATGACATCAGCCACACAAAAGAAATAACAAACATGCTACTTGTACAGATACAGAAAACCTACATATTCCCAAGGGGGTTTCCTTTTTTTATGGGCCTTGCTACTTTTACATTATGGATGCCATAAAGGCATCCATAATGGACAAGTGTGTCGCGTCAGCAGACCCCCCAATGGGGGTCGGACACTTGTCTAATGTACAAGAGGCTAAATCCTTTTTTTATTGCATGGGACCCACCCTCCTGTGAGGGGGTGCAAGAATTCTGTAAATTAA